CTGTGATGCTGCTTGGCCTGCTGTGTTCATCCAGCTCTGCACCTTGTTGTCTCGGATTCTCCAGCATCTGCAGTTCCTACTACCCCTTCCCAGAAGATTACCTGGGTTTCTGCGTTAATAGTGTAGCAACAATGCCACCAGGCCATTACCTGCTGATGTAACCATTGTATTTATATGGCAAGTCCAGTTCAGTTTCTGGTCAATGGTAAACCATAGGATGTTGATAGGGGGAGTCAGTGATGGTAGGTGAATGTCAAGCAGTAAGGGTTTGATTCGCTCTTGTTGGGAATGATCACTTGTGTGGCACAAAGGCTGCTTGTCATTTTATGAGCCCAAACCTGAGTATTGGTTAACTCTAAATAAAAACCGAAAGAACTGCGGATGTTGTAAATCAGGAACAAAAACAAAGTTGCTGAAGAAGGTCAGCAGGTCTGGCAGCATCTGTGAAGGGAAAAACAGAATTAATGTAGTTCTGAGGAAGGGTCACCGGACCCAAAACGTTAACTCTGTTTTTTCCTTCACAGATGCTGCCAGACCTGCTGAGCATCCATAACCTTCTGGTAGTGTGGTGACTCGAACTGTACACAATATTCCAAGTGTGGCCTAACTAAAGTTCTATAAAGCTGCAGCATAACTTGTCACAGCCCATTATTCCAAAAAAACTTCCTTCCACCGCTACCTTCTGTCTCGTATGACTAGGCCAGTTCTGTGTCCATCTTGCCAGCTCATCCCTGATACCATGTGACTTTAGTTTTTGTACCAGTCTGTCATGAGAGACGTTGTCAAAGGCTTTACTGAAGTCTATGTAGACAACATCAACCACTTTTCTCTTATCAGTCATCTTTGTCACATCCTCAAAAAACTGATTTTGCAATCATTAGCCAACATCCCCACTTCTGTTGTTATGATGGAGGGAGGCTCATCGATAAAGGAGCTGAAGATGGTTGTGCCTAAGACCCAAATAGGTCTACTACCTTGAGAAATTCCTGCAGTGATGTCCTGGATCGGGGATGATTGACTTCCAACAACCATCTTTCTTCTGCTGATTATGACTCCAACCAGCAGAGAGTTTTCCCCTGATTCCCATTAACTCCAGTTTTGCTGGGGCTCCTTGATGCCACACTCAGTTAAAGGCTGCTTTCTTGTCAGGGCAGTAACTTTGACCTCACCTTGTTGAAAAATATTGCACTGCCTCAACAGTGATATGGCTGAATTTGCCACCAACTCAGGATTGAACCTGACATATTCCTAATACACAGAACTCAAGGACAGACCATGAACCAGTTTTATTCATTGAGAGTCTAAGCCTGCTAACAAAAAGACTTCCTTTTGCCTGCAACTTTATTGAAGATGCAAATGGACAAAGACATCTCATTGAAGTTATGTAAAATTCTCAGAGCCTGCAACTGGAGTCAATGCATTCTGTACTTATTACCAATCCTCAGGAAGGATATATTGGCTTTAGGTGGAATGCAGAAAGGAATCGAGGCTCAGGGTGTTAAACTATGAAATCAGGCTGCTTAGCAAAGCTCGTATTCCTTCAAGACCATAACATTAAGTTGTTTTACATTATTGTGGAATAGATAGACAAAAGCCATTTTATCTGATAGAAATGCCCAGAACAAAGGGAAGTAACATTAAAATTACAGTTTATTGACACTGAGAAATGTTTTTTTCACACATATGGAAGTGAACATTTGGATCTTCCTCTCCCAAAAACAGTTGAGGATGCAAGTCAACTGAAAATTTCATAACAGGGTTCACTAAGGGTGTGTGAGTGATACAGAAACAAAGCGGGTGGCTAGTGTTAAAATGCAGATTAGTCTTGATCTAATGAAATGATGGAGTGAATGCATCAATCAGTTGTTTGATCGACTTTCCTCCCTACTCCTCTCTTTCAAGCCTCACTGAACAAGACATTTACCGTATTTGCCACCATCCTCCCCATTGGCATTGATCTTTTTGGCCAGCACCTGGACGTGTTTGCCACTGGTCCTGCTGTAAAGCTGGTAGATTCGGATCTGCTTCCGACTCAGGTCATCTGAATGTTTGGTATGGTTCTCCACGTAGGTCCTGAAGTGCTCTGTGGTCTGCTTCGATTCCTGTTAAATGGATGAATAGCGAGAGATAAGGTAAGGAGCTGAGTGAGAATCAGACACTGAGTCAGGACAAGGGACTAACATTAAGGCACAATGAAGAAATCCTCCTATAGGAAGGATCTTGTGAAACTTGAAAGGGTTCGGAAAAGGTTTACAAGGATGTTGCCAGGGTTGGAGGGTTTGAGCTATAGGGAGAGGCTGAATAGTCTGGGGCTATTTTCCCTGCAGCATCGGAGGCTGAAGGGTGACCTTATATAGATTGATAAAATCATGAGGGGCACGGATGGAGTAAATAGGCAAGAACTTTTCCCTGGGGTAGTGGAGTCTAAAACTAGAGGGCATAGGTTTAAGGTGAGAGAGGAAAGATATAAAAGAGACCTAAGGGGCAAACTTTTCATGCAGAGGGTGGTGCGTGTGTGGAATGAGCTGCCAGAGGAAATGCTGGAGACTGGTATGAATGCAACATTTCAAAGTCATCTGGATGGGTATATAAATAGAATTTTAGAATCCCTACCATGTGGAAACAGGTTCTTCGGCCCAACAAGCCGCACTGACCCTCAGAGCATCTGACCAAGGCACATCCTACTATAACCCACCTAATCTACACATCCCTGAACACTATGGGCAATTTAGCATGGCCAATCCACCTAACCTGCACATCTTTGGACTGTGGGAGGAAACCGGAGCACCCGGAGGAAACCCACGCAGACATGGGGAGAATGTGCGAACTCCACAGGCAGTCGCCCAAGGGTGGAATTGAACCTGGGTCCCTGCTGCTGTGAGGCAGCAGCTGGTTTAGAGGGATATGGGCCAAATGCTGGCAAATAGGACTAGATTTACATAGGATATCTGATCAGCATGGTCGAGTTGGACCGAAGGGTCTGGCTCCATGCTGTATATCTCTATGACTCTATGACTCTAAAAGGGGCTGAAATGGGATTCTATAAATAGGATTAGAAGGACAGGATAAAACTCTATAAATGAGTATGAGGAATGGAGGATATGGCTAGTAACTATGTCACTGGACAAGGTGATCCAGATGCCCAGATAATGCTCTGGGGTCACAGATTCAAATCACATCATGGCAACTGGTAGAATTTAAATTGAATTGATAAATCTGGACTATGAAGACAATAATGGTGACCATGAAATTGTCATCTTTTTCTCACTAGCGTAACTTAGTAGAGGAGATGTGCTGCCCATACCTGGTCGGGCCCGTACGTGACTCCAGACCCGCAGCAATGACATTTCTTTAATTCATTCATGGGATGTGGGCATTACTGCCTGGACCAGCCTTTATTGCTCATTCTGAATTGCCCAGAGGGCAGTTTAAACGTCAACCACATTGCTGTGGGTCTGGAGTCACATGTCGGCCAGAACACGTAAGAATAGCAGTTTCCCTTCCTAAAGGGCATTAGTGAACCAAATGTGTTTTCCAGCAATTGACAAGTGCTTCACAGTCATCATTTGACTCTTAATTCCAGATTTATATTGAATTCAAATTCCATAATCTGCCATGGCAGGATTTGAATCTGGTTCCCCAGAACTCTGTGTGGATTAAAATAGTCTTGCTATAATGTCACCAGGCCATCACCTCTCCAGGCACCTCAACTTTTAACTGACCTATGAAGCATTCATGTTTGAAACATCAGGTTTATTTGTACATACTAAACTTTTGTTTCATGGCAAGGTCCTCAAATCTCTCTCCTGTTCTGATTAATGAAGAGAAAAGGAACCAATGCCAATAAAATTCTGGGCACTATTTGGCTGTGTCACTGGAAAAGCAGAAGCACAGAACCTTGACCATTGTAAGAGAGATAGGTCACAATAAACCGTGCTAATTATTCAGTGCAACAATCAATCTTACTTCTTTGTTCTATCTGTTGAATAAGAAATGAAGCAGAGAGCCTATGGCATATCCAGGTAGATATAAAAGATTGCATGGCAGATAGCCACAAAAGTCCTTCCCATTCCTGGTCAGCCAGCAATACTGAAAGTAGATTATGTACCCCTACACTTCCCACTGTTTACAGTTCCCTCATAATAACAACATTTCCAAATTTTTCTTTAATATTCATTCACAGGATGAGGGCATCACTGACTTGGCCAGCATATATTGCCCATCCCTAATTGCCCAAAGGGCAGTTAAGAGTCAACCACGTTGCTGTGAGTCTGGAGTCATAATGGGCTAGACCAGGCTTTTTTCAAAGAGAGCAATTTCCTTCCCTAAAGGACATTAGTGAACCAGATGTTTATTTATGCACATCCCGCGCAACAAACAATTCGTGGGATATCATTAAACTCTTTAATGTCAGATTTTTATTGAATTCAAATTAAATCATCTGCTGTGGCAGGATTCTAGTCCACATCCCCAGAGCATTAGCTGGATCGCCAGTCTATCAATAATATCACTAGGCCATCGCCTCCCCATCATATTCTGCTTTACTAAATGTCCATACTAATGCAAGCATAATTGCAGTATGACCACACTCTCTAGAAAGGCTGTGCATAGAATTACAGTCTCTGTATATGTTACACAGAAGAGCAATTCCTGTGTACATTATACAGAATAGTGATCCCTGTGTATGTCATAAGAAATATCAATTCCTGAGTATATTATAGAGAATATAGATCCCTGTATATAATATACCGAAAAGCAGTTCCTAAGTACATTGTAAAGAATAGCAGTCCCTGTATCTATTATAGTAGATCATTTTAATTTATTAGTGGACTTTAGACTTCACAGGCAAGGGCAGCACTTAGGTACCCATCTGGTTTTACCTTGAGAAGGTGATGGAGAACCAACTTCTTGAACCAAATTGTGTTGATACAAACACAGTGCCAGGTAAAGAGGTCCAGAATTTTGACCCAGTCACAATGAAAAATCATATACAATCACAGAAGTGCAGAAGGAAGCCATTTGGTCCATCATGTCTCCTCCAGCTCTTCACATGAGCATCATTGCCATGGACCAACCTTCTGCTTTTTTTTTCTCCCCCAAATTCTTGCACATTATTTCTATCTAAATAAGCAATCAATGCCTCTTGAATGTCTCAATTCAACCTGCCCCCACCACACTTCCAAGCAGTGTGTTCTAGCCCCTAATTACGCATGTGAAACATTTCTCCCCATCCACTCTATTCAGCCTCTTGGATCTTCTCTTCAAAGAGAACTTTTTTAATGGGGGCATAGAGTACATAGCAAGGCAGTGATGTCGAACTTGTATAAGACACTTGATTAGACCTTGCTGGAATATTGTGGACATTTCTGGTGACACATTATAGGAAGGATATGAACACATTGGAGACAGTGCAGAAGTGATTTACAAGAGTGGGTCCAGGCATGGAGCTTCAGTTAGGAGGATAGAACATTGTATGCTCTCTCCTCTTGTCCTGTCATCTTCAACGATGTCAGGTCCCTGTGCTCCTGCACTACCTTTAGAACTGTACCCCATATTTTACATTGTCTATCAATGTTCTTCCTATCAAAATGCATCACTTCACCTGTTGTCCAAATTGAAACTCATCTGCCATCTCTCAGCTCGATCCACCAATTGACAAAATGTTTTCATGTCAGGTATAAGATTTGCAGAATCTGTAGATAAATTATAGTGAGGTAAAAAGGAATATTACCCAGAATAAATAGAATTAATATTTGGGAAAAAAATAACTGGAAATAGTTAAAGATGGGCAAGGAATAAAACAAATATATCCTGGCAATGGAAAATAGGGGATGGATCCATGCTTGGAGATTAAAAAATAAATAGGGGGTTGGGATTGAATCAGAAATTTTAAAAGAAGCATTTTGTGCTTCTAATGATATTAGAATATAGAGAAAGCAGGAGAAAATACACAAGAATCACAGAATTGAATATTGCAAAAGATGGCCATCCAACACTTAAGGCGGTGCAGTGGCTCAGTGTTTACCACTGCTGCCTCACAGTGCCAGGGGCCTGGGTTTGATTCCAGCCTCAGCTGACTGTCTATTGTCTGGTGGACTAGGCTGACTGTCTATTTGCATGTTCTCCCCATGTCTGTGTGGAGTTTCCTCCGTGTGCTCTGGTTTCCTTCCACAGTCCAAAGAGGTGCAGGTTAGGTGGGTTGGCCATGCTAAATTGCCCATCTTGTCCAGGGATGTGCAGGCTAGGTGGATTAGCCTTGCGAAATGCCAGGTTACAAGAATGGAGCTGGGTCTAGGTGGGATGCTGTTCAGAGGTTGGTGTGGATTCACAGGACTTGCTTTCACACTGCAGAAATTCTATGATTCTAATCCATTGTGACTGCACTGGCTCTCCCAAATAATCTCCAAATCATGAGTTAGTGCCTTTCCTTACAACTCTGCACGTTGTTTCTGTCAAACAATCATCTAATGTCCCCTTGAGTCCTTCACTTGAACCTGCCTCCACTCCTCTCCCAGGCAATGCATTCCAGATCTGAGTCACTCACTGTGGGAAAATGTTTCTTCTCACATCACATTTACTTCTTTTGTAAATCACTTCAAACCTGTGCCTTCCCATTCCTAATCCCTTGACGAGCAGGAGGACTTTTTCTCTCCTTTGTCCAGGCCTCTCATTATTTTATAAACAGCAATTAAATCTCCTCTTAGCCTTTTCCTTTGCAAGGTACACAATCCCATCTTCAACAATCTATCTTCATAACTAGAGCTATTCTTATAAACCTCTTCTGTACCATCTCCAATGTATTCACATCCTTCGTGTAGTGTGGCATCTAGAAATATGCACAATGCTCCAGCTAAGGTCTAACCAGTGGTTTATACAAGTTCAGCGTAGCCTCTTTACTGTTGTACTCTGCATTTTTAAATGAGATGTAAACAGAAAAGTCAGGTTGCCCCGAAACTGTCCCCATCAGACGCTCCTGGGATAGGGACAGCAGCTGGTTAAACACAGAGTAAAGCTACTCTACTCTTTTTAAACAGAAAAGTAAACCTTCTTTGACTCTTTTGAACTCAAATAAAGTTCCTTTGACTCGTTTAAAATAAAGTTG